GTATCATTTACCTGATCGGACTATCCTAAGGTGGTGTGGAAACGAGCTTTTCAAAAATTGTTTCCCCGTTCCTTTTACGATTTGTGCTTTATACTGCCGTGCTGAGGAAAAACGCCGTATGAATATTCGAGAGGTGCCAAATGTCCTCCGATAAAACGTTTAGTAAAAAAGAAAGTTATGAATATTTTTCCTTGACATTTTCAGGAACTTTAGGTGAAATTGCGAACAAAATTATCTGAAAATTTGGGAGAAAAATATTTAAACATTTTCCCAAAAATTCGTGATATCGCGGAAGAAATTTGGCAACACCTGAGGGTTTATACTGCGTTCTTCCTTAGCACGGCAGTATAGCTTCTGGGTGACGTCAAAACCTGAGAATCTTTTTATTGAACCATACGAAACTGAAATTTTCAGGTGAGAGCAACACGAAGCTGAAGAAGTGTGAATTTTCTTTTTTACACGGAGAGCAGAAATTAAATATCTGGTAACTGCCATCAGGTGCCTATAATGGGGCATCAGTTTCTAATAGACCAAATTTAGAGAAAATTTCCTGGTGGAAATCCAATGAAAACGGGACACTTTACGCTGAGGAGCAACATGCATATTTTAGCAATAACCTGATGACGCTCGCCAGGTTTTGAATTTCTACTCGTCATGTATGATAGGCCAAGGTGATGTCATAAGTCTGTGTGGTATACTGCCGTGCAAAAGAAGAACGCCGTATGAGCATCCGAAAGTGGCCAAATTTCCTTCGATATAGGGTTTATTTTTGAGGAAAGTTATGAACATTTTTCTTTGAGATTTTCTGGAGCTTTAGGTTAAATTGGGAACAAAATTATTTGAAAAATTGGAAGAAAAATATTCATACTTCTACTAGGAAATTCGTGTTTTATCAAAGGAAATGTGGCAACGCTTGAAGGTTCGTACGGCATTTTTCTATAGCACGGCAGTGTAGGGTCTACGATTTGTAACCATTAACCATTGTGTTACACAGCACCACACCGTTCGGGGACTTTAACGCAGGAGTAGAATAGTAGAAAAGTACGATGCCCATTGATGGTAAGCCAAGGTGACGTTTAAATGCTGCAGCACGACGTTTACTTTCATAGTGGAGGGAAAGTTATTTTTCTTGAATTTCTGCATTATTTCATCTATTAATTATGACTTGATGAAGAAAAAAGTGATGCGCCACAGCGGGAGATAAATACATAAATAGATAAAACATGCATAAAATTCCTACTAATGTGGCCACAGCGTGTGAAAAATAAAGATTTCTGAACTCTCGGAATGTTCTTGACGAGGAGCAGCCTCCGAATTCTAAAATACTAGGTTTTCCGTGAATTCAGGCAATAAAATATGGCAACACCGGCTTTTAGGGGGGGGGGGGCTTTGAATCGAAAAAAGTTTTTGACCACCCACGTCCATTTATTGCCAAAAAAGTTAAACTCTGGCGTAAGATGAGTCGCTTTTTTAAGCCATTTTAAATAATGATGAAAAACAGGAAAATTCTAAAAAGTTTTTTTTAACTATGAGCGCAAAGTTTGACATCAACGAAAATTGGCCAAAGTGACTCTCTTACATCCCTAATGAACATACTTGAAGGACTTTTTTGTCCTCCGAAGGGATCGGTATGAAACAGCGCTTTGAATGCCGAAAAACCAGCATTTTTCGCCAAAATCGGCCTTCAGGCCCATGTTAAGGCCAGTGGTAGACCCTGAAATAGATCGGAAATGACCAAACCATTATGAATTCCGTAAAATATAGACCTTCAATGACCAAAAAATCGCGGAGTTGAGGAATTTCAGGGTGGGCCCAAAAAAGGCCCTTAACGATACCCCTCCTTTCAATAAAAGTCAATCGAGATTGGGTTTCCCATTGTATTCTTTAACGTGCATACACTCTGCATAACTTTGTCTGGTTGAGGGTAGAATTTTCAAAAAAATGTACGCGATAAAGAGAAACTCACCTGAAAAGAAGTTGAAGAAAACTGTGGCCCAGATCGTCCTTTTCGGATTTCCGTCCCGCTATTTGGCATATGCTTTTGAGGATACATTCTTGACCATTAAATCCATGCCTGTAACACATTTATTCCGATTGCAACGTAACCATAGATCAAAGTCGCCTCATGATAAAATGTCATGAGCGGATACTTGATCCTCAGAAACGCGCATACCAAATTAAACAATTTGATGAAACTCTCGAATAAATCAAATAAAATAAAGTAACGGATGCACCGCTTCATCAAAAAAAGTACCCGGAAATTTGAAAAATTCACCGATAAAAAAATGAAGTTGATTTTGAGTACATTCTGGATGTAAAAAAAGTGTGCGAGAACTTACAAAATGCTGAATTTACTGCTACAGCAGTTACGTTAGCAATTTTTTTTTTTTTTTTTTTTTTTTTATTGCTAACGTAACTGCTGTAGCAGTAAATTCAGCATTTTGTAAGTTCTCGCACACTTTTTTTACATCCAGAATGTACTCAAAATCAACTTCCGCGATTTTTCCTCAAATTAAAAACAGCTGATACTTCCTTTAAAGAGTCATCCCTGATTGCTCCTCCGTTGAAACAATGAAACTCATACGAAATTCTTAAGACGGTAGAATATACCAATATGAATTTACATATTTTTTGTATTTGTGTTACTGCAACACCGCAAAAAATTGAAGTTGATTAAACATTCTGGATATAAAACAAGTGTGCGAGAACTCACAAAATGGTGAATTATCCGCTACGGAAATAAGCTTTACATCTTGAAATTATATGTAGTCTAGTTTAAGTGTACTTCTAAAATGTAAATTACTTAATACTCTATGTAGGCGTAATTCAAGAATAAATTAAAAAAAAAAAAAAAAAAAAAAAAAAAAAAA